CAACCCCTGGCTTGACTGTGCTGCTCTGCAATTTATAGACGATTGGGAGTAGGTGCGAAAATACAGTCTATATAAACCATCAGATTCCCGGGCATACGAATAGACGTTTGTTCCCCTCGAAAAACTCACACATAGACTTTAAGAAACGCACAGTTATGCCTTGACGGGCAAAGCACCTTACTGATAATAAAATTGTCCATTGACGGGCAGTAAAATGCCAGTTCGCTATTGTAATGTTTAAAGAGTCAAGTTTTAACAGTACCCCTGCCAAGCGACTGCAGGACTTGTGAATTGGCTAAATGTACATTACCAATTCCTCTTCGAAAGAAATAAACAAGCTTCGATCATTGCAGATATTTTGAGATGCTCCTGAGTCGATAACCAAAAGACTTCCACTTGGCACCTTTAATTCTTTTACCGATCTTTATGCGAGCGTGAAAAGCTCGCGCTCGTTTCTGTCTCTACTATACGATGCCGGCTGCTGGGGCTGACGACCGTGATTGACGAACAGAAACAGGCTTGGGAGTACTTTGCTTTCTTTTGGGATCTGCAGTCCCTTGCAAAATGTCCTTGCTTATTTGCAGAACCACAACGCTTTGCAGCTTTTAAATGCAGTTGTATCACCACAGTTTTGCATTAGTGGCGTTCCTCATTCTTTCTGAAACAGGAGTGGCTTATGGCACAAGCCTCCCTTCTATCCAACTCGGCCCATTAATCTTGCCGTTACCCCTCCACAGTTAATTGTGCTGGTGGAACAGCAGATATCTGGCTAGCTATACCATCAAAGTCCTCATTAAGGGAACAAAGATGATAAAAACATACTGAATATCAGGTATCTCCATGTCCCTTCGAATTAACTCGCCGCGTATTGCCTCCAGACGTCTCAAGTGTGCTGCCAAATCTCCACCAGGCTGCAACTTCGTCTGGTACAACTGCTTGAAAAAGGTCAATGCAGATGCTGACTCTTTTCTAACATGCACTGCTGCAAGACTGTCCCACATTTCTTTGGCAGTTTTCTTATTTCTTATATAGACTTCTTGCTGGTCGCTGACTGCCAAATTAATTATCGCCCTGGCTTTTGCATCTCCTTTCGACCAAGCATTAGTTACAGGGTCAGGAGGGTCATCAGTTACATAGGTCCATACTTCTCTAGAGGTCAAAAGCGCCTCCACCCAAAAGACCATAAACTATAGTTCTCATCTGTTAGCTGTGGGAAGACCAGAGCCTTCTCAGCTTCAGGAACCCGGTCAACCATTCTGGAACTCTTCCAGACCCACAAAAACTACGCTAACAGGATAAGGAGTTTTCAAACCTTTCTCAGAGTCCAAAATATGCAGTCATCCACTCAGCAGCTGGGCCCATAACCAAAGATGTTGGCTTTTTGCAGTATAGTGACGCTGCAGAGAGCTTGCTGGGGAGATCATGCATTAAAAAGAAAGGACTCAAAAATAACTTAAAGAAGGTTTTAATAAGAAAAACAAAAACTCCATTAACACTAAATACATCAACAAACCAGACCCAACCACCAACCCATCCCCCAGGGTAATGGGAGAGCTAGGTGCTGCTCCTTATATACTCTACCCAGATGCTGACACACCTTAATCAAATACAACTCAGCAGCACCTGCTATGTTACACAGCTGTAAAGCTGGGTCTCGTTATCTTGCTCTGGCCCTTGCTCTGGCCCCTTAAAGACATACACATGGAGTGGAACAATGATGAACCTTTACATTTAAAGAAACCATTCAACATATCTTATTTTTTTTTGGAATTTTATTGCATAGTGCATATTTTTATAATAACTAGTATTATTACAACAACAACAACAAATCTTTATTACGGTCATAGACCAGCATCTAGTATTATTACTGAGACAATAAATTATAATACCACTGGTTTTAAATTGTCTTTTGGATTATTATTTTTTTAAACAATACAAATCACTAAAGTTTGCCCACTAATGTGCTGGCTGCGTGTATTTGCACAGCTAAAGGCATTTGTGTCCAATCTGACCTTCATTTGTCTTCCTGGATCAAAACTAAATTGGCTGCAGCTGAAAAACAAGGTCACGTTATAAATGTGATATGGTAAGGCATCTGAAATGAGCTGCCTAATCAAAAACGAATCTATTTCAAAACTTGAATTAATTAAACATGAATTAAAAAGGAACATTCCTTTTGAAGTATTCAGCAGTTCTTGTACTAAATTTTAAAAGATTATATAGGAAAGGTATTGCAAAATAGACAAAGGATGACTTGATAGCATAAAAGGAGACTTTTGTTACCTGTGAGCCATGATCATCCAAAGTCATCAGCTGAAGAAACTGCTTTGTTAGGTGAAAATCTAGGGTTGGATCCGGACTTGTTTTTGATGGAACTCCACAAACTGGAGGGGGACATTTTTCAATTCCCTCTGCAGTCCCCTTGTCCCCTGCTGCAAATCTGTTTCAGAGGGCTGGGGACGTTCCTGAATAGTACATGGCACAGGGGCTGCAGAAAGAAACAGGATAACTAAAAATGGTCTCTCCTCTCTTCTCTCCTTTGTCAATGGGAACGAAAGCTTCCACTGGATTGGAGCAAATGGAAGGAGCCCCTCTCTACAGAGGAAGATGTCTATGAGTCCAACCCATAATTGTTGACTTTCCCAAACTTTTTATTCCCGGAGGCCAATCAGTAATTACGTTACTGTGGAGTCAGCTCCTCCCACCCCCAACAGAGATGTGATTAAGGTCAATACGTGTAAAACAGAATGAGCACAGGAGATGCATCTTTAACACATATTGTGTGATGTAGTGAGAAGGAAGGTGTGGGGAACTCTTTTCACAACTGCCTTATTTGGTGCAGCCACTTGTGCTTATTTGGTGCTGCACACATGAGCCTTAAGGTGTGTTTGTGTTACTCATTCTCTGAGAGATTCAAACATGCCTTATTTCCAGCAAAGGAGTGTGCTGGGAAAATGTGAGAAATGTTTACAAGTAGCTCATGTCATTGCTGAGCAGTGATGGTGCATGATAATTCATGTGATGACAGCACACATTTTTCAGGCATGCTGTGTAGATCAGTGAAATCAACAAATAACCCCATGTAACCCTAACACAACCCTTCTACATAAAAGTGCAATTTTGTGTGGCCTTTTGTCTAACTTTCCAGATGGCCAGCTACTGAGTAGGTTTTGTGAGTAAATTTTCAGCCGAATTAGACTTTGATCTCTCTTATGCAAATTCAGTGGACTACCCAATGGATCACACTGGCATAATATTACTGGTTTTTCCCTCCTAGTTGGGGCATCCATTTAATCATACCCGTAATATTCTGGTGGCTTTGTTTTATCACGTAGATGTCAAGTCCATCATCTTGAAGACCCTGCCTCTCTGTATAGCGAGCTAATGGAATTAATTGTGAAACTTGCCAACCACGGATTGATCCATGGTGATTTCAATGAGTTCAATCTCATGTTGGATAGTGAAGATCGAGTCACAATGATTGATTTCCCGCAGATGGTGTCAACATCTCACCCAAATGCTGAATGGTATGTGATGAGCAGCCTCTGTGTATTATCCAGGTGTGGCCATTTGATGACATTGAGCAGGTTTGTGGGGTCCTGGTAAGCCTGGCTTAGCATGTCGTGCAAACCAGACTGTTGACTGGAGAAGATGTTTTACGAATTCCAGAACGAGCTCAAAAACGTGAAAAGTGGAATTGATGCTTGAGTAATGAAGAACCTATGGTAGTGGGGTGTTTGTAAATTGAACGCACCTTTTTAAAGTAACCTGCGAAACTTCTTTTGTTCAGGTACTTTGACAGAGATGTGAAATGCATTCGTGACTTCTTTATGAAACGTTTCAGCTATGAAAGTGAACTCTATCCAACTTTCAAGGATGTAAGGTAAGTTTGTGGGCATGTTTAGAAACCAAGAGTTGTTTTGCACCTCAAATTCTACCTCTACACCTGTGTTTCCCAAACTTGGGTATCCAGCTGCTTTCGGACTACAATTCCCATCATCCCTGACCACTGACGGCAGTTGTAGTCCCAAAACAACTGGAGACCCAAGTTTGGGAAACGCTGCTCTTCACAATGCATTCAGATTGTTCCCAGAGAGGCATTTGTCCTCATGGAAGTTAAGTCTGAACCGAGGCTCCGTGGATAGAAACACAAGTTTACAGCCATGATTTCTGCAACTATCACAGTAACATGCATTAACTATTTCTATTTGAGGGCCTGAGTCACGCATTACAATTCTCATCCGAACGTGTCTCTGGAGAAAGTAGAAGTAAAGTCACTTTAGTGCCAGATACAGATCAGATAAACTATTGGTTTATGCATCTGTCTTATGCTAAATATATATGTCATTTTATGATTCTCTCTTAAGCTGTATGGCAGAGAGGCAATTGTTTTGCATCATGTGCTGTTTGATAATCGTGAAAGGATGGATGTGTTTCAATCCACTGAACTACCATCTTTTTTCATATTTATTCTTCAATATCTTATTCTTCAATAAAGACTCTCTTCTAGATCTGGAGGATGTCTTCCACTGTTCCTCGTTCCAGTCATTATTTAATCCCTTTCAGTATCTGATCCTCCTCTTCCCTCCTTTTAAAAAAAGAGCTGAATTTATTTGCAACAGACAGCTAATCTTTTTATTGGATTACAGCTGCTTCAGAATCGCACCTTAGGATTCCAGTTCTTCTGCGGGGGCGGGGGGGGGCATTTTTTTGTCAAAGTATATCACATCAGGGTGTGCTTCAGTGTATGGGTATAAAATCACAAGTCCAGCATTACTTTGATAACTTTGTTCTAAAAGTGTACTTGCATTAAATGAGGACTCGGTTCATGCTTGACTTTTCTCTTTTCCCGCATTGCCAGGAGGGCATGTTCTCTTGATGTCGAAATTGCAGCTAGCGGTTACACCAAAGAAATGCAGGAAGATGATGAGCTTCTTCACCCAGCCGGCCCTCATGATGAGGGCAATGAAACTGCGTGTTCTCCCGGTGCACAAGGTTCTGAAGGGGCAGAAACACTATGTAGCGGCACAGATCAAAAGACCGAAGGGGACTTCACAGAGGAGGTTGAAGATGCCACCAAAGATTTGGGGCAAAGCAGCGAAGAAGAAGAAGAAGAAGAAGAAGAAGAAGAAGAAGAAGAAGAAGAAGAAGAAGAAGATAGCGCAGATGAAAGTGAGCAGAGTTTAGATTTGCGGGAGTTCGCCTGTGCCTTACAACAAGCTGAAGGGCAAATTATTGCTGCTCGAGACAGGGCTAATGCAGGCTGCTCTGTAATTGATTTTTCTGAGGATGAAAAGAAAATTGAAAAATCTACCAAAATTGAAGATCAAACAGGTCAGGGAGAAGAGCCTGCTGACAAGGACTGCGAAGATGAATGCCCTGATCTGGTTGACTTGTCAACATTAAACAGAGAATTCAGGCCTTTCAGGTATGAATTTATATTGATCATTCAGGGTTATTCAGATACTGGGTTTTTTGCTTGTTTTTCCTCTTTCCAAAACGGAAGCTCCCCAAGCGTTAAGCATATTTCTTTTCCGAAATTCCGAGATTCAAAGCAGTTTTAAATAGTAGCATGTGTAATGACCTTTTTATTACAATGTAATATTCAGGGACTATTTGAATAAAAATGTTATACATTACTTGATTCATCACTGGCATGCTTTGAACCTCATGGAGAAATTTTAAAATGGTACCAGCTATAATCTCTCATACATTTTGTACTCATGTACTCCTGCTTGATTTGCTCTACTAGTGGTAAGGTACCCCTGCCCATACGGGCCAGTCTTGCCAGACTCTAGGGTTGTGCGCTCATCTCACTCTATAGGCCGGGAGCCAGCGCTGTCCGCAGACACTTCCAGGTCACGTGGCCAGCATGACAAGCTGCATCTGGCGAGCCAGCGCAGCACACGGAACGCCGTTTACCTTCCCGCTGGTAAGCGGTCCCTATTTACTTGCACCCGGGGGTGCTTTTGAACTGCTAGGTTGGCAGGCGCTGGGACCGAATGACGGGAGTGCACCCCGCCGCGGGGATTCGAACCGCCGACCATGCGATCGGCAAGTCCTAGGCACTGAGGTTTTACCCACAGCGCCACCTGCGTCCCTCTACTAGTGGAGGGAGCACAAATTATTCATTGCATCAGATTGTGCTGGCCCTGCCTTATTGCTGCTTTCAGATACTGTTCCCTCTTCATCAGTTCTGTTAGCCAGGAAAACCTTCGCTAACAAAATTGCCTAGGCTGAGTAGTTAACCACACTGCCCAGCCTGCATTTTGTGTAATGAAATGAGACTTTTATTGGCTTCTTACATAGAAAACTGAGATTGCAAAAGGAGGCTGGCAGGTCCTTGCGCTGCCTTCGTTGGAAGTGAAGTCACTCAAGGCATGACAGGCTAGGGCAGAGAGTGAGCCTGTGCCAGTCTTAGTGCCTGTTTGCAAGCAATAAAGATTCAAGAGCCCCTTTGGGTCAACGATATTCATGCCATACAAAACGAACGTCCTTGAGACTGGAAGGTCTGTTGAACAAACCCATTTTATTCTCGCAAGTTTTGTGTAGGTGAATATCCTGGTGGATTGTGTCCATTATCAATATGTGTTTGGGTGAAATAGTTACTGTTTCTAAAAGTGTATGTTGCAACTGAATCATCTCAGAAGAGTTGATTGGTAAAAGTTGGATTAAAAATGGCTGACTACAAGCATCTGTTCTGTATTGCAGAAATGAGGAAAGCCTATGTCACATCAATGACCACAGGACAAGAACTACTAGCATGACTTCAGTAGGCAGTATGGGAAGTCGTTCAACAATTCCTCCAGTAAGTCCTACATAAGTAATGAGAAAACTGTGGCCCTCCAGAAATTCATTGGACTGCTGCTCCCATCATCCCTGGCCTTGCAGCTTGGGGCTGGTGGAAGTTGTAGTTCAACACCCCCTTCCTAATTTATATAATGTTCTGAGACTTAGAGCTCAGTCCCTCAAAATCTACCCCAGCACGGCTGCTGCTTAGATCATTGGGACATTGCAGGCCAATGGATTATGCCTTCAGTTAACTTGTTATGTCTCTCACTGAGCTAGGACCCTTCTTTCACCTGATACTGATCAGGTGGTTCTTTCTCTGTATTCATAAGTGTAAATGGCTGGGGATTTTTGAAAGCACAATTAGAATTATTCTGAAACTTGCAAAAGTTGTTACCTTTTAGTCAAATCCAGATCCATTGTCGCTCCTGAAAGCCTAAGATAATGAACTGTTGTCATTGTCCCTGAAGGTCATTAGTATCCACTGTTAAAGATATTTTAAAAAATTTAAATATTATCTTGCTCCACTTAAAGCATAATGCCAAGGTTCCAGTGCTTCAGCCACTCTTGTGTGTAACCCAGTTTTGAATCACTGCCACCTCCGCTTTCCAAGCAGCTGGTATACTGCATACAATCAAGGGGTGTGGGGAGTTTCCCCAGACACCAAACAGCATATTAGCAGCTTTGGTTGATGCTTCGTGTGTATACTCCATAGGTCTTTATTGAGCTGTAGTGGTTTCATTTATCCTAAAGTGCCTCTATGTGGCTTGTATAAGTTACTCAGCACCTTGGGATACTGGGTGGAGAAAGGTTATAGAAAACATGGGGTGTAGAGATTCATATTTCATTATCTTTTTTAACATAGGCAATCAAACAATATTTTTATTTGTTAACAGGTTCTAAAAGAGCCTTGCATTTTGAAATAGTTGTAACAGGAGAATTCTGTTGAAACCACCCACACACAAACACACTTCATCCAAGCTAAATTAAATTTTGCAATTAGAGATCATGAATATAAACACAAGGGTCCTACGCCTTCATTGGTCAGATTGAATCACCAGCTTATCTGAGGGGAGGGGAGGAATCTGCTTCTTTATTTTCTTGGACACCCACCAGAACACTTCCCCGCCCCCAACTAGATTGAGAGCACTCTGCCTGACAAAGGCACTGCTCTCTTCTTTTTTCATGACCAACTGGGAATAGTATACCAGACCCTAAGAGTACAATCTGAATGGGCCAGTGCATTCCACTCCTGGAGCCCAGCAATCTGCTGACAAAATTGATGGACTGAAAACAATTCTTTGTCTTCCAAATTCTTTAAATTCCTAGTAAATGGTTGCTGCTAGACTGACCAAAAGGAGGGAAGTATTTCTGCAGAAAGGGGAAAGCAACAACTCAAAAATAATAGAATTCTAATTGCACATAGACACTGTTCTTGAGTCTCATTGAAACAGATCATTTTCAGTACTCAAAAACAGTTTCTTGCACACCTGTGTAAGAGATTTTTTTAAAGGAAAGACTGAGACAGAAAGGCAGGTTGGAAAAATGCAGGCAGTGGGGCCTTGAAGCCGCCCAAAGTCCTGCATTCTGATAATTTATGCTCCGCTGGCATAACCACAGCTCTGTAGTCAACCTAAAGCTTCTATTGATTGAACTCAGGATAGCTCAGTTGGTAGAGTATAAGACTCTTAATTTCAGGGTCGTGGGTTTGAGCTCCACATTGGACAGAAGATTCCTGCATTGCAGGAGTTTGAACTAGATGACCCTCGTGGACCCTTCCAACTCTGATTCTCTGACACATGCAAACGTCCAAGTTAGATCAGTGCAGTTTGTGAGGAATTCATTACTTGTCTCAGCCACAAGGGGGAGTAGTATTCTTCCAAACTAGCTCAAAATTCTCAAGATTCCAAAAATGTTCCGGCTTGCTTTTGCGTGTCTTCCCTCTGTCGTTGCACATTGCCACTGGCCAGTTTTTTTTTACCCTGCCCAGGTTGTTTAGACTGAGAAACTATTGTTCATTAATTCCAGAAAAGCCGCTGCCTGTTAAAGCTCGTTAAACCGTGCATTTGTTTTGTGCCATGTCGCTCCTTGTATCCAACCTATTTTGAGTTCTCAAAGGGTCACTTGACTTGCAAGCCAGACCTAACGTCTGGGTTTTGGAAAATGTCTTGCAGGAGCTGATAAAACAAAAGATCAAGCGCCAGCTGACGAAACAGCAAAAAGCCGCTCTGAGACGGCGGTTGCAGAAAGGAGAAGCAAACGTTTACACAAAACAGCGACGGGAACACATGCACAACATCAAGTCGAGTTTGGACACAGCCAGCTTCTGGGGCTGACATCCTACAGAAAGATCTTCCTTCTTTCCCCATGCCTTGCAAATCAATGAAAGAGATGGCTTTCTGCTTAACCAACATGTCAAGTTGTGTTCTTTCTCTTGTAGCCTGAGACAAGCCTTCAAGGCCTACTCTGTGGCAGCCCCAAGTTCAGATGTGCCCAGTGAGATTTCTTATTTGTTTTGGGGTTTTTTTTTACTTGAGATGGTTCACACTTACTGGAGTGCTTCACTTTGCTTGTTGAGAGCAGGAGGCTCCATCTTGCATGGTGGCCCAGGTCCTGCCTCAGGAGCCAGCTGGCTATGTCACTTGGCCTTCAGGAAGCCCGCTTCTAGAGGACTCCACTCATAATTTACTATGCCGCTTTGTTCAGAAACAGAAGCCAAAAACTTCCACAGGCAATAAAATTCTAAGAGAAAGCAAACTAAGGGCAGCGAACTCCCAGTTTTCAGGTGGCTGGACTGAAAATATAACCCATCTCATACTATGCATATAGACACAAAGCTCCGTGAGTTCAGTTTAGGACACTGCCTCTATTGGGTGCATAGGATTTGTATTGCTTAGATGCCCATGTAAGCCTGCAATCCACCTAAACGTGCTTTTCAGATAGTAGGGTCCATTAGACGAGGCGTAAAACGAGCACACGTTTACAAAACGTGGGATCAAACTGCAATAAAGATGATTATAAGGCTAGTGCAAACCTGTGGGCTCAAATCAGACATTATTGGAGCACTCCACAACCCTGTTTAAAGTTACCCTGTTATCTTCACTGTGGCTCAACTGCCTAACTTTGCAGCCCCATATATGCTTACTCAGAGGTAAGCCCTATTGAGGTCAGTGGTACTTCCTCCCAGGCAACTGTGTTTAGGATTGCAGCCTTTGCAATAATTAATGTAGCACCTTCAACAGTATCTTCATTTCTAAACTTGAACAAAGGCCCACAAGTTTTTCATGACTTGCAGAGCTTTGAACCTAGAAGCTCTTACTCAGTTTCTCTCGGCACTTCCAAGGTTTCATGCGTAAATCCTGCCCAAACTGACAAGTAATAAAAATGACGTTGCACAGGCCTGGCTGGCACTCGGATCTCTAAGCAGCTCTGTGCAACTGCTAATAAATTTTGTTCGCGTACATTCAACAATGTGCTAGATAGCCTCTCGCAAAATACCTTGGAAACCCAGTAGCCAGGAGCACTTGCCTGAAGTGTGGGTTTAAAGTGCATAAAAGATGTTTATCTAGCAGAAATAGAAGCAAACTCTTGTTTTGCTGAATCTACTTTGTTAGTAATAATAATAATTTTATTATTTATACCCTGCCCATCTGGCTGGGTTTCCCCAACCACTCTGGGTGGCTTACAGCATATATTAAAACATAATAAAACATCAAACATTGAAAACTTTCCAAACAGAGCTGCCTTCTAAACGTTGTGTAGTTCTTTATCTCCTTGATATCTGAAGGGAGGGCGTTCCACAGAGAGGGCATCTAAAACTGTTACAACTAAAGCTGTATGGGATAAGTTTAAGAACTCCAGAAAGGAGGGGAAAGACTTTTTAAATAAATCAAAAAAGGTGTGGTTTCTGTAAAAACAATAAAATGTAAATCAGAAATTTAAAGATAATCAGGCCAGCTGGGGCCAGCATATTTTTAAATTCATGTTTCCTTCTATTCTGCACTACAGCTTGAATCATCTTCGGGAAGTTCAGTTTATGATAGTTTCTGTGAGTGTATTTAATATAGCAGCTGAAGACTTAAAAATGTGGGGTGGTAATTGTTTTCTCATTGTTGAAGCAGCCATACATAGCCAGAGATCATATATAATATGATCACTACAGCTTATCTGTTTCTAAAAGATTTCAAGAACAGAGCATATTACAGCAACCAAGAAAAAACCTGAGCATTTAGCAGGCAAGAACTGAAAACAGGTTAAAAGCCCAGTGGCCTAAGAAAATTTTAATTGCCCACCTAAATGGGAATGTTGCAGGCCAAAATGGAATCACTGAATTGTACAGCTGGAAGGCATCAATGGTGGCTCGCAAGTGTTGCCCTTTACTTTTCCCCACCTACCTGTATGACGAATTGCCGTTTACTGTAGTGGGGAGAGAAATACAGCACTGCAGTACAATGGGGGAGAGCTTAAGTTTCTAATGGGAAGGTACACATTGCCCCAAAGATTCCTGCATTGCAGGGGATTGAAGTAGATGGCCTTTGTGGTCCCTTCCAACTCTGGTTCTGTGAAATACCGGTACATCGTGGACTTGCGTGCAGAACAAAGATGCTCTGAACTCAAGCCTTTCAATATACATGCCCTCTGTTCACTTCCATCCTTCCTAGCATATTTGCAGAGATTTTGCTAGTTGGCTTTTAAAGTCTGAACAGGGATTTATTTTTAAAAAAATTAAAAAAACTATAGGGTATATGCGTTTCTGTTTCAAGATTAGGGGAAGGGCTGAGAGGTTGATGATGCTAACGTTCTTGAAAGTAACCTTTAACAGATTTCCACAAGAGAAGATAGTTTGCACATGTTATGCTTATTACCTGCCCACTTCCATCTGCATCATCCCCTGATGCAAACAGCTGCCACACAGTTTAACAAGACTGACTACTTTCATGCCTTTTCTCAGGGTTCTGGACCCTGGAAGCAATTTGTATGTTGCTTGTTAAGCTTTCGTGTCACCTGAGGTCACGGACCAGCATCGAAAGAACTGCAAAACTCGTTAGGCAAGTCCCAGAGAAGCATTAGACTTGGTTGCTTTTGAGTAAAATATTCAAAAGGCTAAAGCGATGGAACATGGGAATACCCCACAGTTTTGGGGCACGGTGTCTCCTCTGAGAACATTGGGTATAAATACTTGATTGACAGGTTTTTTATTTTATTTAAAGAGAGAATCGGTTTATATTAACATTTAATACCAGGAAGTGGAGAGCCTTGTATGCCTCTCTCTTAGCCACATGTGCTGCCTCTGGGCTGAGCACCTACAGTTTGCATGCTATTATCCAGGTAGGGATGCGGGTGGCGCTGTGGTCTAAACCACTGAGCCTCTTGCCAATCAGAAGGTCAGTGGTTTGAATCCCCACGATAGGGTGAGCTCCTGTTGCTCTGTCCCAGCTCCTGTCAACCTAGCAGTTTGAAAGCACGCCAGTGCAAGTAGATAAATAGGTACAGCTGCGTCGGGAAGGTAAACGGCATTTCCATGCTCTCTTGGTTTCCACCACGGTGTTCTGTTGCGCCAGAAGCGGTTTAGTCATGCTGGCCACATGACCTGGAAAGCTGGACAAACGCCGGCTCCCTCAGCCTGAAAGTGAAATGAGCACTGCAGCCCCATAGTTGCCTTTGATTGGACTTAACCGTCCTGGAGTCCTTTACCCTTATCCAGAAAATTCATGGTTTTCTAAGCCCTGCATGCATCAGCTGCTCCCTCAAAGAGCAGGAGTTGGCAGTACACTGAGAGCCTGGGAAGGAGGGCTCCATTGGATGAACATAATGATGCCCAGGAATTCGTCCTGGTAGACCAAGAAAGAAGAAGAGACTGCCTCAGCCTATGGCAATCCTCTTCTCGCGCACTGAGCTGTGTATGTACAGATAGGACATTTAGATAAATAATGGGGAGAGAGAGAAGCAAAGCAGTATAGCAAGGGATTAGACTGAGTTAATGTGATTTCACATGCTTCAGACTTTGTTTCATTTTGGGATAAAGACAAAGGTATTTAAGGCATTTTTGAAAAATAAAAGTCATTCCAAGGCATAGCCATAAGTAACCACTTGTCCTTAACCTTCGGTTTTGTTTAGATTACCATACATTTCTCTGGGGATAAAAATGGCTAAGGGAGAAACTCGGCCCTGACATTGTACCATGATATATCTCTTAACAAGAACAGAGGTAGAATTCCTGAAATATCTGAAGTCATCAGAGGTCACTATGAAGTTTATACAAAGGCTGGACTCCGCGGTGTTCCATTTATATTTCATATGTGGATATTCAAACAAAAGTTTACTTTATTTACTGGGAACCTGAGGAAACAGGGAGGTTAAGTCAATAACGTCCCAGACAGTCCTAACAAATTCACATATTTAGCAGGTATCGGAGGATTGTTTAATCAACATCCTTCAAATGCATTTTTAATGGCTGCACTTAACAGGGTTTTCGTAACTGGTCAAACAAGAGTCACAAAAATGCTAAAGACTCTGTATCTTCTGATACAATATTGTGTATATTACCTGACTTTCAGCTATATGGGAATAAAAGCTGTCAGCTACGTTTGCTGCCCTACCACCCTGGCTGATATTTGTAACTGAAAATCAGTAACAGGTGTCATTTTTTCCCCTCCTTACCTTGGTTAAGAAATAGTCCATCTGCAGATGTTACCAAGCCTCCCTACAGAGAGGTGAACATTGCCTAGATGGGCAGAAGCTCTTTCCTCATTTGTTTTTTAAAAAATACCATACAAAGGTAAGAGTCTGTCAGGAAGCCTCTTACAGGCCCCTTGGTCCATGTAATTGTACTGATTTGAGAGATGGCTCTTGAGTTTTTTGGATTATTTGAAATGTTTTTGTTCCCTGAGAGGTGTTTTTTAAAAAAAATTTAAAAATTCAAGCACTCAAGTGGAAAGTTCTGTTGGACTCCCAGTATCTATCGGCCCCAGCCAGCTCGGCCAGTAGCCAGGAATGGAGCAAGCCAGCACCCTAAAGTTGTATGTGCTTCCTAACTCTTCCACATAGTCTGGACAGCATATGGCTTGGCATGGTCAGCCATTTTGTGTTGTCTTAGCTGTCATAAGGGTGAAGTGACCCTACGCGCAGGCTACCAATACATTTCTTTACACAATTTATGTTGTTGCACCTGTTGAACTACAACAACCTCCAACATCTCCAGACTGCATGGCCAGTGCTCAGCGATTATGGGAGTTGTAGTCCACAACATCTGGAGGGCCAGAGGTTGCTTACCTTGCCTTAGTCTACAACCCAAGGATTAAGTAAGCACATGCTACTATATTTGCTCACATTGCCCTTTCTTTCTTCTTCCTTCCTTCCACTTCCCTTGTCTCTTTCCCATGAATGAAACTTAAGATTACAAGATGCTTGG